CCTCTACCATATACATACTGCCTGATTTGGGATGCATTTTCTAACCTTTATAAGCTTCAGTTTTCAAATATGAAAAGAATATGAATGACCACCACCACTGCTAATCCCTATGTCAAAACCTTAAGAGAGGCAATGCAGGTACAGGACTCCTCATGGGCCTAGAGTAAACCCTGGGACATGTTTGGTAACACCTACTGCTACTATTACTCTTAATATTATACTACTATGGCTACTGCCGCCACTACTACTATAGTTTATGAGAGATAGTTTCTATTTACAGTCATCCCCCGATATCTGTGGGGGATTGGTTGCAGGACCCTTGTGGATGCCAAAATTTGGGAATGCTTAAGTCCCATATATAAAATGTCCTAGTATTTGCATATAATCTATGCACATCCTCCCATATACTTTAAATCATCTCTAAATTACTTATAATATCTAATACAATGTAATACTATGTAAACAGTTGTTATGTACTATTGTTTTTATAATTTGTGTTTTTATTGGTGTATTGTTATTTTTTTATGGTTTTTTTTTCTAAATATTTTCAATCAACGGTTAGTTGAATCCCTGGATGGGAAACCCATGAAAATAGACTGTCCACTGTACTCATTTCTCTTGAATTTCTGTGGCTCTCTGATGCTCTCTCATTTTTATTCCTAAACTCTCTTTTTATCTGTATTTAGAATACAGATTTTTGACAAAACTAAAATGGGTGATATAATGTTCTGCCTTCCATTACCAAATGGCGGTCATTGGCTCAACATTTAGTGAGATTTAGAAACACAGATAGCCAAAAGAATACTTATGTGGCCCAAGGGTTGATTTAATCTTGCAGTCTTTAGTAACAGAGTTGCTACATAGTGCAGTCAGTTTTTACTCAGTTGGTTCAAAGAGTTCCTACTGCACAATTAGAGGGAAGGGACTCTAGGAAGAAAATGTGGCTCAAAACTTAATAGAATCTCCTCCATCTAACTGTGTACTTATATATCCCCCTCTTGGATCCCAGCTCATCTTCCACTATGGTACAGACATAAAATGAAAGGTAGCAAAAGACATTCTATGCTTGCCACCTACAAAGATGCATTCTTTCTCCTATTTTTAATGCTTAAAGTATACCATTTCTAGTGTATTTTAGTCTCTGATTTTGTGAGTTGGTTCCCATCACAGGAAATGCATCCTCCAAATTATAGTCCAGTTCACCACTATGCACCAAAACAGGCTGTCTGAATAAAAACCACCACCCAGTAATTTTGTACAGAGTTGCTCAAGAGTGTTCTATGGCAGTCCTGGATGAGGCAGAAAAAGGAGGGAAGTGGTTCTCTATTCTCTCCCTACCCCCTCACTTCTTGTTCTGTTAAGCTCTCCTAGTTACTCATTTTCTACCGACTGCTTCATATGAATTTTAAGAAAATAATGTTGTTTCAGTTTCTTTTCATTGATAATAGTGTGCAGATTGCAAGTATTTTAGTGCAAGGACAAATAAAAAAGAAACATACGCATGAGAGAAATGTTTCACTTTGCTGGTGTTGTGGTTGAACTGAAAATAAAGATTTATCTATCACTACCCTCTTACCTGCTGGAATTCTCCCATCTGTAAGAAACAGGTCACTGAATCCTTCACCCAGCAGCCTGTCTATAGGAGAATCTCGTCCCAAATCATAATCACTGTCTCCTGCTTCACTGTCACCACGGCCACTGTCTTTCAAGCTAAATTTGTCCATGTCTTGAAGGGCATATCTAAAAAGATAAATCAGGAAAAATGTGGTTTTCACTCTTCAGCATTTATGTTGAGATTTAACAGGTAACAGAATAATTCATACCTATAGCTCCTGGAATATTTGTTTCCTCGAAAACTTGGCCTTGGCTGATATTGCCCCTGGTGAAGCATCGAAAGAAGCTGGGAGACCTGCTGGAAAGCAAATAGACAGAACTGATTCCTGGAAACAAAACCCCTAGAACTCACAATCTTTATGCAAAGAAAAGAAGTTACTTGTTATTTCATATTGAGTAACTGAACATGTTATGTCTATTTTATAGATTTGTATATGCTGGACTGTGGCAGACTGTGCAGCCAGCTACCAAATATAACTGAAATATATCCCAGAAAGATGTGGATGATCTAATGCAACTGATTTTTTTCTTTTTGAAAGAGGACTCCCTTTTAAATAACCGATATATTTCCTTTATAGTTCAGATAAAGTGGCCAGTTATAAAAATACATGGGATATGTTGTAAAATACAATATGGTGCTACATATAGTTAATGTCAAAAAATTTTCCAAAGTTGGACAAAAATAGCCTTCATAGAGATGGGATTTTGGAGGCCTCAGTTTTTGATTTTTCAGTAGAGACCATAAGTAGAGAGCAAAGCAAGTCCCTTTACTTATTGACTTCCCAGTATCTTAATCTGGGAAGTAAAGGGACTCTAATTAGATAGTCCTTTGTGTGCTTCACATTTATTTTTAAATATTATACATATTACAGGCAAGTAAATTATTTAAGAAAAACTAAAAACAGTATGCTAGCATGCGCATACTTTGCTACATATTCACAATGTAACTTACAGCCTATTTAATTTGCATATTGTTAGTATTGTTACTTATTAATGAAATTATTTCAGAACTAAGGAGCACAGCTTCTCAACACTAACAGCTGACATTGTCAGTGAGTTAATGCAGTTTATGATCTTACCTCAACAGCAGGAGTGGCGTGGGTGAGTTCCAATGAGAAATTCTCCGGCACGTGGTTCGATGAGATTGTCACCAAACTGTTGAGTGACTGGTGACTGTTGTGACTCTGCCGGCTGCTCATTTGCCCTCTTTCTAAGGTAGGTGATGAAGACGGAGATGATCTGTGATGAGATCTGATGGGCAGAGTGCCATTAATAGTAGGCACCAACGTGATGTCCCCTTTGTGAATCTGCCTGGATGGTCTCTTTGGGTGGTGCTGGTAAGTTGATTCTGCCACCCTGCAGTTGTAGGATCTAGTATCTTTCTTTTCTCGGTTACACCTAGTTGCAAATAGAACCATGATAACCAGCAACAGGGCACAAATTGCTCCTAAGGAAATAATTATCATCATGGAGAAATCCCAGGATGCCTGGCTTACTGAAGTCATTGCTGTACTGGTCACTGACTCTGCATATTCAAAGATCGAGCACTTCAGAAGGACTTTGGTATGCAGCTGAGGATTGCCTTTGTCCTGAATAATAACTGAAAGCTCCCATTCTGTGGAGGGAACAGAGTCCATGCTCACATTAGTATGGATGTCACATGATCGTGGATCAATTATGAAGATATTTTCCTCATTACCTCCTATTATGGAGCAGCTGAGTTCAGCATTCACACCAGAGTCTCTGTCAATTGCCCTTATTCTTGTGACATGAAAGCCACTTTCAGCCCCCTTGGGGATGGAGATTTCTGCAGTATTATTTCTCAGTGCAGGCCCTATAACCACAGGGACATTATCATTTTCATCAATGATGGTGAGTACAACTGTGGTATTGCTTACAAGTTGCTTCGGACTTCCTCCATCTCTTGCTTCTACCACAAAAGTGATCTGACTCACTTCTTCATGGTCAAAGATTCTGAGGGCATAGATGGCTCCATTGGATGGGTCAATGGTTACGTACGTAGTTATGGAACTTCCTAGTATAAAACCCTCCAAAATGGTATATGTCACTTGCCCGTTTTCTCCAAGATCAAGATCTGTGGCTATAACAGTGGTGATATATGCCCCAGGAGAGTTATTCTCCGAGATTACAAATTCATATCGGCTTCTCTGGAATTGGGGTGGATTGTCATTTATATCATTGATTTGAACAGTAAAATGTTTCACTGTAGAGAGACTCGGTGTCCCCTTGTCCTCAGCGATTACAGTCAAACCATATTCAGATCTCTTTTCTCTATCCAGTGTGGCATTAGTCAAGATTAAATAATTGTTTTCATAAGTCTTCTGAAGTTTAAAGTGACCATGTCCATGAAGCTTACAAACTATTTCTCCATTCAGCCCAGAATCCTTGTCCTGAACCCTGACCAAAGCAACAAATGTGTCAATAGGATCCCCTTCAAAAATATAAGATACTTCTTCTTTTCCAGGGGACATGAGGTTGATGTTAATTTCAGGCTTGTTGTCATTAACATCCACAACCTTAATTATAATTTTGCAATGAGCTGGGATTGAATTCGGACCCAAATCTTGAGCTTGAACATCAATCTCATAGGATTTGGTGATTTCATAATCCACTTGCTTGAAAAGAGTCAAATGTCCTCTTTCTGAGTCAATTTTGAAAGTCTCTATAATTTTAGGAGACACATGACTGCTGAAAGAATATACAATTTTCCCATTAGCGCCCTCATCTGGATCAGTGGCATTCAGATCTAGGAGCAAAGTGCCAACCGGGGAGTTTTCTAAGAGTTGTATTATATAAGACTGCTGCTCAAAGGCAGGGCTGTTGTCATTGGAGTCCGAAATGCTTATTTTTAGTATGGATGAGCCGGACCTCTGGGGCACCCCCATGTCTGAGGCCGTGAGCTGAAGCTCATAGCTTGACTTCAGCTCCCGATCCAACTCTCTGACCACTATGAGTTCTGCATACTTGGCTCCATCAGTCCTGGTCCGAACCTCGATATTAAAAAAATCATTGGCAGAGAGGGAGTATGTGTGGAGGGAATTTTCTCCAACATCTGGATCAAATGCACTGTCCAGGGGGATACGAGTCCCAACTGCCGCACTCTCAGATATCTCAATAGGTATGAGAGATCTTGAAAACTGGGGAGAATTGTCATTAATATCCAGCACTTCAACTTCAATATGGAAAAGCTGCAGATGCTCTGTGGGTAAAGTGATCACATCAAACTCTATAGAACAGTTCAAGTTTTTCTGGCATAGTTGTTCACGGTCAATTGTAGCTCCTATGCTGATTTCCCCACTATCCTCGTTTACTACAAGTAGAGGAGAATTTCCCCTTTGCATGGCTCGAAAGCGAACAGAAGAAGGATTAGGTAGCTTCAATAAAACATCAGCCACATCCTCTGATAGTCTTGCAATTACCGATCCAACCCTCTGTTCCTCATAAATCCTGTATTTCAAATTCTTGCCCAATGCATCGTGGTTGAAAGACACCGTCAGGAGTGCAAAAACAAATCTAAAGTGCATTTTAGGATTCATTTGGTGCATTGGTCAGTTCGTGAGATTTCCCTCGCGGAGCAAGTTAAAACAGCAAAGCAATCCCCTCAACTTCCTTTGGCAACTTAAAGCTAAGCTACATTTGGCACTTGAAACTCGAAAGCGTCTCTTAATAACACAGCACAGCAATTAATAGCTCATAAACTTTTGTTTTATACACACCGTGTCACGGCTTCCAGACACTATCGGCATGGAGTCCAGTCCTCGCATTCGTTTGGCCGTCAGCCCTCTCGCCAGGCAGAAGAGTGTCACCTCGGCGTTTCCCCCCTCGTGTAGTCGGAATCCATCTATTGCAGGGTGCCGGCGGAGTCTGCAGCGGATCTCCCCTGAGCGATTCTTTCTCCCTTTCTCTGCTCGGCTGCAGACTAAACACCCGTGATTGCTGACTCCAGTCTAAAATCTGTACAACTTCACTTCAACTCAGACAAAGCTCTTGCCCGGCGTGTGTTGAATCGCTTCCAGCCAATCAGCGCGCTTCCAAATCCGGAGCTGATGGAGTCACCAAAGCGAGGGAGAGCGAGAGTGGAGGGTGGGAGAGCGACGGAGACCGAGACGGAGGCAGGCGGGGGCTGGGGGCGCGAGGGGGCGGAGGGGACAAGGGCGGGAGGGTGCTGGGGCGGGGGGAGCCATTCCTTCGCAGCTCCTCCCTTCCTCCTCTCGGTCCCCCTCCTCCTTTCAATCGACTGCATGCACTCTCCCTGAGCATGCCATGACAAAGGGGAGACAAATTACAGAAGAAAAACTTTAATTCAACTTCTGGTCGCCTTTATTTCTATGGCACGTTAAATTGCTCTTGTTTTCTTAATTGCCCTTTCTTCTGCCACAAACATGTAATCATCTTGCTTTTCATAGTCCTTAAGTGCTAGTTTAACTTAAAATACCTCTAAGTGCATTTTGTTTGGGGAGGAATTTAATAAAATTTGAAAACTTGCTTCTAATTATGCCTCTCAATCTCCTTCCCCTCCCCCCAGGAAAATACTTGGGCCTTTCTCCTTGGAGGAGCGCAAGCAGATTTTCTTGGGACTCTGTTTTTAAAGAACAGAACAAGTAAAAAGGTTTCATTTTCTGCTTTCTTTCATCTTTGTTCTTTGAAGATAAGAAAAGGGCTATCTTGCACTCATGATTTCCCTTAATTAGCACGATTTAAAGGAACACCTCAGAATTTGGAACTAATTAACCATATAGTTCTATCTTACATCACTTCTTTCCTTGAGTTTGGGCAAAATTGTCTGTGATATTTCTTTGTCTTGTACTTGAAAAAAATTCTATTTATTTTGTGGGGAAGACACTGCATACTTTAGCATGCCAATTTCTACCAAAACGTACTATCTATATACATGGTTGGTCTTCACATTTACTGGGGGCCATGGACTCAATAGTTTACAAGTCAAATTTTTATAATATATGCATTATTTATGAAAACACTTTCAGACAGATATTTTTAAAACCCAAAGCTTGTTTACATTGACAAATAAAATGCCTGAGCTGAAAATTGCATTTCATGTGCATCAAAATGCTAGGAAATATCATGGGAGGCTTGTGCTCTAACCAGGTCACAGAAACTGATGTGGTATTCTTATTTGAAAATATGATTATTTATGATGTTCTCGCTGCTTTGCAATTCCTTTTAAGTTTGTCATTGTGGCTCCATTCTTGCTGCTTTTTTTCCCGTACCTTTTGCATTATTCCTCAGCTGTCTTCAACCACTTGCATATTCGCTGTTTCACATAATCTCCCTGTCACTTTTTTCCATTTATTTTCTCCCACTCTCTATTTTGTCCCTCCCAGAAACATATAAAAATTTTCTGATTTTTCCACTTTGCTTACTCTCAGCAGAGCTCAGCTAAAGTCACCAGAAGATGGTTCTTTCCAAAAAAGAAAACAGAGGAATCTCAGCGTGAACTCTCCTTCTTTTTCCGCATTCAAAAGCATTTTATAAGCCATTGTCTTTTTTTTTTTCCCCTCCTGAAACCAGTGCTGTGTGGCAAATTGTGCAGAATAGAAATGCCTATAATGAATGTATTTAGTACTGGGTCACGCTGATGAACATTCTGCCCCCATGAATAATGCTGTTTTACAAGTTTGTAGCCCTTTCAAAGTGCTGCTCCCCAAACCCTATAGGCAAACTAGAAAAACTACCACTAGCAAAGGGGACTTTAGAAACTCATCGCCATCTGGCCTAGATCTCTAACAATCTGAGCCAATAATTATATCAATTCAGGCTTTAGTGAACCCCTTTGCAAACTCCAAAAGAGCAAAGAAAGGAATTAGTGACTATTCAAAGTTGGGGTGAGAATTCATATGTAATCTAATTCCATTAGTTCTAGGAGAATTTTCTTTGAGAATTTGGTAAGTCTAGCCCTCAAAACTCCAAGATCAATGGATTTGATTACCTTAATATGGAGGACATTTTTTTCCTACGCTTTTTTCCTATGCTTAAGAAGTAAAAATAATGTAAAAAAAAAAAATTCTTCTATTGTTCCTCACAGTGGGCTTGAACAGAAATAATCATTGTGAAAAGAGCTATAGTGTAATTCACTGGTATATTTAAAATAGGTTGTAAGTTAATATATAGTCATAAAAAATGTGTTTTGATGAGTAAGTCTTTAAAAAACTTGGAATACTTTCATGGACAATGGCTTTTTTCACTTGCAATATCATTCTCACCAAACTATTTCATTTTCAGTTTGCTAATCTCTCCTTGAGAAGTTGGATGTATCTACTTGAAAGTAGTGAGCTTTTGATTTATCCTTAGTATACATTAATGTGTTCTATAAACTTTATTTTCCAAAAAGTACAGAATTGAAAATAAATCTTTTCTTTGTACTTTTGATTAGTTCCAGCAATTCAAAATTTCCTCATTTTGTATCCCTGATGAGAAAATACACCCCCAACTCCCAAAGTGGTCTCTATCTGTGAAAGGTTTATATTAGAAGAGAAAAACTGATTACGTTCTACTAGTTGTCATCTAATGATGACCTGATTGAACTCTCTCCTTCTGGAATTTTACCAAGTCATGAAGAAGTAAGTAGATCCTCTCAAACAACTCAGATAACTAGTAAAGGAGAATTGATTGAATGTCTTTAAAGTCTATCCCCCTTTGACATGGCAGCTTTTGTTGACAAAGACAAGGTGTGGTTTCACCTCTTCAAGAAAGTAGCATGGTGAGTGAGGTTAGAGAAGACAGCAAAGTGCTCCTAAGATTCTGGAGAAGAATCTTGGATACACCCACCTTATTGTGTATACTTTATCTATAAAGTTCCTTTTACCACTTGGGCCTAATTGGACTGAAAATCTTCAAACCTAGAGAAAATATATTAGCTGGCATTTGCAATACGTCTTGTCACCTCTATGAACACATTTTTATTATGCCCTTTATTTTTATTACTTTTGTTTTAAGGAAAATTAAGCTTTGTAATTCCGAATTTTAATGTTCCCCCCCTCCCCCCTGAAGAGGAAGGGAAACCTAGAACTCAATTATCAGCTTCAAATCTCTCCCCATTACATGAAGAAAAATGTCTCTTTTGGTACTGGAATATAAAATTAAAGCCAAAAAACCTTCTTACAAGCAGATGTGGATTTTAAGATTTTTTAGCTATTAATTTATATTTTATTAGAGCATATGAAGTAAAAACAGGTAGATTAATAAATATTCACTTTTATCTCACTATATCATTTCTTTCTCATCCTCAAAAGAATAACAAGGTTGTCACAATCTTCTAATACATTAGCATAACTTTACAATCTTTCCTCATAGCATTCATTGTGAAATACCTTGTAGAAGAAACTCATGATCCTGCTTGGTATCTGGCTGTAATAAGCCTAAATAATTACTATGTATCCTGGGAGAGTAAAGAAAGGCAAAGAGTTACCAGACAAAGGTTAATAAAGTTAAGGAATCCCAATACTTCGTATTAAATAACTGCCTAAGATAAAGAGCTCGCTTGACTTTTTATATGAGCCCAACAAACAATATATGATTGTGTGTACCATCAATTGATAGCTTACATCCTGGACAAATCATTTACCTTCTCTGAGTCTGTATAATCCTCTGTGAGGTGGGTATAATAATAGTTGACCATAAAGAATTCTTGTAAGAATTTAAATGACCGGGGTTCTTCAGAAAGGGTGGCCCAGAGTAGACATACAACGAAGATTAGTTTCCTTTTCTAAAAAGCTTCTGTGTGTCTGTTTTCTTCCTAACACTCATTGAAGGAAAAAAAAATGTGGATTATATCCACAGTATTTGGTGCTTTTCAGACTTTTG